GACACTTGTCACACTGCGGCCTTCCTCCAACTTCCCAATGATTCGACCTCGGGTAAAAGCATCCAGATGTCGTCTAACAGATTGATTATTCGCCATTTCTCGCTGAGGCAGCAACTCGGTGTGATTTTAACTGCTATACGGCGTGCAATCTCTTTGCCAGAAATACTGATCTTACACCGACAACATGCTTTATACTACTCAGACACTCCCCCATTACGTCTACCTGCATATCTGCGCATGTGCTACCGTACATCACCTTACTTAATCTCCTGATTGACCTTTCTGTCCGCTCTGCCTCTTCGTTCAGCTGATATGCTAATTTTTCGACTTCGTCCTTAATTTTTGCACACCAGTGTATATTAAGCAAGTAGAAGGGGAAAACCCCGTGGTGCAGTAAGCAAAGGGGCGTCCTCGCAGCTTGCCCTGGGTAATTCAGTTTAAATTAGTAGACACCTTTGCACAAATCATTTAAATTACAATTTATAATATCCAGAACAGCGGTCATTTCGTATGACCGCCGGACGTTCAAGTATATATATATATATGTTTGTGTGTGTGTGTGTGTGTGTGTACGTAATAAACCTTTTCAATTGGAGATGATGTAGACCATGATTCATGAGGATATAAATGCAGTCGGTGGCTGCAAAAGGTCGTTGAAAAACACTTGGAAAAAAATCTCTTTATCCACTGAGCCTTCGAAGATATTCAGCATTTCAATCATTCACAGTTTTCTTCCAAGCCACATGCTTCCAATAAGACATGGAAGCAGACATCACTAAGTCCATATCACAATACCTTTTTATTGCTTGCTTAGCCAAATGGTCAGATCTCTCATTACCGAGAACACCCTGTGTGTAAAATGGATTCAAAAAGGATTTTGTTTCGTGACGTATACATGTGGGACAATGAAATTTTGTATAGGGGAATGATTAACATCTAACTGTGCACCTCCCCTTTTTATCGCTATCCGACAGTAGACAATGAGTGGCTGAAGAAAATGACATTCTTAAAGTAAATACAATTACATTCTAAGATAATTAAATATATGAGTTATATTTAATGATATTGATTTCAGTCTCTAAGTCATTCATAGTGCACTCTTTATTTTTGTAAGGGAACATCTAAAATGTTTGTTCACATGTCCAGCCCCCAGTTTTAATTAGTTAATTTTTCACTCACGTAGCATTACAAGTAAATCTTTAAAAATCGTTTATTCCCCCTTCTCCTTCCCCCCACATTAAAAATGAGGACATGGCTTCCTTGTATGGCCTATTAAATTATACACATTTTTTGCAGCATTTCATTAAAACTTCCCCGAATTTCATTAGAGATATATTTCTTATTCAATCAATTTAGTTCTTACTTCGCAGAAAGGAAAAAATACATAAAAACTTAAAACATCTTCATTAAACGCTGTAAAATGCAGGAAAAAATATAAACACCAATAGAGTTTAAAAACCATTAAAAAACAATTTTTACAATTAAAATTTGAATTTAAATTAATTAAAATTAGGAAGAAAGACAGATTTTTTTTCTGCAGAAAACTTTTGATCCTACTCGGCAAAAACACACTGAAATTGGTGCAGAAACTGCCTTAATTCACTATGCTACTAAGTTTTAAATGTAAACAAATGGCAACTTCGTTGGGCTTAGTGGAACTTAAACAACTTTTAGGTAGTTGATAATTCTACAACTATTGCATGCTGATTAATTAAAGGCATAAAGACGTTAAAGCGGAACATAAGAACAATATACTTCAGTCACGAGTCACGTTTAAAGCAAAAGAATACACAATTTACAAACACACAAGACTAAAAAAACTTAGCTCACCTAGCCGGGTGACAGAGTGGATATATATATATATATGTGTGTGTGTGTGTGTATATATATACATACATTTATATATTTTTGTTTCGATCGATTGCAACCAAAGTGGGAAGTGCATATCTACATGTTATAGCAGTCCCATATAGAAAATTTCAATGTTTTGAGGCTACTTAAAAACGGACTTTGAGTTATGCAAGATAGATATATGTAATGATATTTTTAAATCAATTGATTAAATTAAATTCTAATAATATTGCTTAATAATGTGTTGGCGATTCTCTACCTAAATTGCATCCCTGTTCCTAAATTTTGGCGAAATCCTTTCTTTAGTATAAAATATATTAACCTGTTGGCGCTCGCCAAATCGCCAAACTCATAAATCTGTCATATTACATAAAGTCTTTAAGAACACTCCTGATGAGAGGATAGCGTCACCTCGTGATTTCAATTAATATCGCTGATTGGATGAGCCTCGTGACGCACACATATGTATAAATAGGGCTTCTGCTCAAGGTACGATAAGAAAACGCTTGTGAGATGGATGCTAAAATAAACCTACCACTTTATATTCCAAAATTTGTCTCATTCCTGTTGCCCCAGCTGCACAAAACAAATAATGTATGAGAAATTACATTTCATATATATATGTATATATAAAACTCATTTTACAAAACAAAAAATATAAATTATCACTAATTAAATTATTTAAATTAAATGTTTAAATTTCATTAAAAACTCATTTTCCAAAATTCATGTGTACTGAATTGAAATTTGCCGGAAATGCGAATAACTGTGATGCTGCATTTAGAATTAAGCTGGAACAGTGGTTTTTAACTATGCACCCATATCAAGAATGCTAGGAGATCATACCTCCCCCCTCGTCCAAAACTCGAAAAAAAAAAGTATACATTTAATAAGATTTAGACTATTTTTAATATGTTTTATAAATTAAACAGCGAAAGTATGGAAAACGCTGATAAGTACCAAAACTCGAATAAAGGTAATATTTTTTTCATATTCATGAAATAAAATTAAATACTTTATAAGGTCTCATTTAAATTTTTTAACCAGTTAATTCATGTTAATAGGCTTTCCTGTCAAGCCTAGTTTCATTTCCCTGCCAGAATGCAAATTTCCACCGTTCGCAATATTCAAATTAGGTATTAAGAAGAAAGTACTTAAAGGAAGGTTTCGGAGGGTGAATTCAGAGCGTGTTCTGTCTGCTTGAAGGCCACATTGATTCTCCTGATTAGAATTCTGCAGCGTTGAGTTATTCTTGCGATTAAGCTTGTTTGCGGCGACTTCTGTCAGAGCCACTTTCCGGACTAGTTATACTATGAAGCTGTTAAGCTATACTTAAATTTCATTACTTTTAGTTTATCCAATATATTTGGTTTAAAGCCAGAATTGTTGACTTGTGTAAACATGAGCTGGTGTCGTATGTTAAACTTTATTTGCATTAATAAAGGGTCCTTTACACCTTTTCGCTGACTCTGTGGTATTTATAAGGCACAGTGAAAAGACACAAGTTGTTTTTTAGAGTCCTGATCTAATTGTAGGCCCTCGAAGAAGACCAGAACTTGTAACTAAATAGCTAAAAAATCTGATGTGTACACCACATGACTTCCTTGTACGGAATATTAAATTATACGCATTTTTCCTTGCATTTCATTTAAACTTATTGGATTGAATTAAATCTACTTCGCCGACAGCTCATAAACCACAATAGAACAAATGCATTCTTTAAAATCCACTCTAGTATTTGGTTATCATAGCGACACTCTGGCGCAGATTCACTTAACAGTATATATTTTTCGTTCATATTATAACTCATAATGTACAAAATTTATCATTTAAAGTATAGAATTATCTAATCGTTGCCACATGTTCTATTCAAATACAATAATAAAGCTAGAACGATGTGCAAAAGAAATTAAGCAAAGAAAACAAAAAAGAAACAGTTCTTCACAGACGATTGAGTATTTTTCATTCAATCAATTCAGTTCTCACTTTGCGAGAAGGCAAAAATACATAAAAACTCAAAATATCTGTATTAAAAATTACGAACTAAATCTTAAATACTTATTTCCTCGAAAAAATTCCAGAAAGGATTAAGCATGATTTAATTGGCAATAATAAATGAAGGCGATATTTTTGTTGTTGCGAAGCATAGTCTCTATAGATTGGCAACAAATAGACTATTCTGCTGTTTCAAATGTAAACATATATGTCCGCCATGTTATTTAAAACTTAACCGCACTTAAACAGCTTTTAAATTGTTGATAATTGTACAAATATTGCTTCCAGATTTACGAAAGGCATAAAAACCTTGACCGGAAGATAAGAACAACATAATCCAATTACTTTTAAAGCACAAAATGTACAATTTAGAAACATATAAGAGTAAAGAAACTGAGATCACTGTGCCGAGTAACAGAGTGGATATATATATAAATATATTTATACACGTTTGGTGCGGCCGATTGCAACCAAAATACGAGGTGCACATCTACATGTATTAGTAGTCGTATATACAAAATTTCAACGTTCTGAGGCTACTCGTTTTTGAGTTATGTGAGATACGTACGTACATACGTATGTGAGAGTATTTTTGAGTTATGTGAGATACGTATGTAACTACGTACATACGTTCGTACAGACGCCACGAAAAATTCTCTTCTGGATTAATTTTAAAGCAGTTTTATAATTTTTTTGGAGGAAAGGAGTCTTTTATTGTGTTCTTACGTACAGATATCACGCAAAAGCATCGTCAAATTGCATTGGATAGCGGTCAAAATGGATATTTTCGTTGAAATATGCTGCCTGAAACTTTTCGCGATTACAATACTTCCTTTTTACTTCGTACAAGGAAGTAATAAAAAAGCTGACAGCATTCCTCTCTTAAAATATGAATTCCTTCCCCTGAGGGAAATTCCCCTTGTTTGAGAGCCCATAAACTATAAGAAAAGAGTCTTTCAATTATTTTTTAAATCAGAGAAACAGATTATTCTATCGTGAAAAAGTTAATCTGCAAAAAGCATCACGTGATAATATTTTTATTTTTGAGAAACCTTAAATCTGTTTCTGTGCTTGATATTTCCCAGTTTTTGATATCGCTCCATGGTGTAAATTGATAAATAAAAGCCATATGTTATTTTCTCTAAGTAATGCATCTACATGCTTTAACAGATTTTCCTTCAGTTTACGTCAAAAGTTGTGATCAAGTTCTTCAATCTGCATCTGTTGTAGCGACATCTCCCATGATTTTCGCTTAATATCCGCCTTTCGTTGAACCGTACAAAAATCTGAGACGTTGCAAGTAAGGTAGCCAAATTAATTTTTGTTCTTAAATCCTTTTTCTTACATTCTTTCTCTCTCTCTCTTTATAATTGCTAATATTATTATAAACAATTTTCGAAATTATTATATAAAGGGGTAAAATATTGTTGCAATCACTATTACTTTTTATATACATGGTGAATTAAATCTTTAATTGCATAAGTGGCAACTGATACGATTGCTATATACAGGGTGTTTATAAAGTCCAGGACGCATTTTGATGTTTAATAACTCATAAGATAATGAAGGTATAAACAAACTTATGGCATTTATTGATGGAATAACATATATTTTGCTTTTCAGGTTTGAATATCTTTACTTTTGTAAATATCGTCTACGCGTGTGGTTAATTTCAGATAATTTCATTTTCCAGTCTAAATATCTATACATTTCTAAATATCGTCTGCTTATTAATTGCTTATACTTAAACTTGTTGGAAAACTTCGTATTTCCACAACTAAAAGAGCTTCAGCCACATGTCTTTTTTCAACAAGATGGTGCACCACCTCATTGGGGTACCATCGTTCGTAGTTCTTTGAATGATCATTTTACAGGAAGATAGATTGGGCGAGGAGGTTCAATTCCTTGGCCACCCAGATCACCAGATTTAACGCCGCTGGACTTTTTCCTTTGGGGATTTGTAAAGGACAACATTTACAGGAGGAGAATGTCGAACATGGATGACCTAAAAGCCAGAATTACAACCGCAATAGCCTCTGTGGATGCCGACATGCTTGCCGGTACCTGGCGTGAAATTGAATATTGACTTGATATTCTCCGTGCGACGAAGGGGGGCACACGTGGAAGTTCATTGACAAGGGTCATGAAACTTTTTGAGTCTATCTAACCATTTATGTTATTAATTTTAATCTATCTTTATTATTTTCAGTGGCGTAGCGAGGGGGTGGCAAGGGGGTGTATGATGCCCCGGGCACCGCTCGCAGAGGGGCGCCAAATGGTCTCCAAACAAGATTTTCACATGGAGGTAGGAAGTAAGATGGAGTCGCCCTAAACAAATTTCTTCCGTACCCTGCTCTGAAGCACCGGCGATCCCTACGTGGTGACCAAAACATTGGGTCATTTACCATTGAGTTCTGTGGAATTTGACGCGTTCGGATGTAAATATTTTGTAATTACTCGTAAATATACATATAAATGTATATATTTTCTTTTCTACAACACTTCAGAGTCCTAAGTATGTGAAACACATATTTTTAAACAACATCTTCATTCTGAACGGAATTAAATGCTATACTTTTCACAGGGACAGTTTTTCTCAGAATGGTTTAATTTGAATGAAATATTTTCACAAGTTTTCGTTAATTACATTAGAAAAAAAAAATTAAGGTAATTCGATTTTATTCGGTTAAGGTACAAAAATTAAGATCAAAGTTTATTGTATTATTAATATTAAATTATGCATTATTTCTTTTCTATTTATACAGCTTTTCCTAAAATACTTTCTTAAATATGACATGATTTTTTGTCTTCTGAGGCATCTTTTAAATCGAAAAATGTAAGTCAATTTACAACTAATGCTATATTCGGTTCATTTTATTATTAATATAAGAATTATTAGTTCTCTAATTCCTAAATTAAATAGGTATTAAATAGTACTTGACTTTCTCTGAACATTTCTGAAAGGGAATAAAATAAGGGTTTTTTTTTTTTTTTTTTTTTTTTTTTTTTTTTTTTTTTTAAAGTATATTTAAAACTTGTAACTGAGTTATTATAAAATGTAAGGGGAATAATTCTTTTAATTATACTTATCAGATTTTTTTTTTACCCTTCATTTCAACAATACATATTCCAAAACTCTTTATTACGTTCTTAAGTGCGCATCTCATAGCATTTGCTTTACCTTTTAACAGATTGCTCTCCAATACGAACAATTCTTGCTTAAATAGTTTTATACGTATTTGTCAACAGGATTTCAATTTATGTTTACAATTCAATATTAAGGTTTATTAATATAATATATATATTTAGATAACATTTATAATCATTATAATTTAGATACATTTAATCATTAGATTTCTTCACAGTACTTTCACAGTTGTTTATAAGTGAATAAATTCTTCATTTCAAATACATTTATAAATAATTTAATGAATATTTAAGTATTTTGTCAAAGGCAGATACATGCTTTTTGCAAGCACATGCATAAATACCCATACATATTTCCTATTTATCATTTCCGGCATGTGCAAATCTTTAATTTCTGTGCATTCACTATATTTTTTGTGTAAAGTAATTTACACTAATTTAGCATACACCCGAAAGTTTTACATAAAAAATATATATGATATAATTTGAATGAAAATTATAAGTATTATTTTAATACCATACCCACTCAAGGTCAGTTTTTTCTTCAAAATTCCCCCACGACGATGGCAACTCTCTCTTTAGGCAGATAGCCCTTGCATGCGTTACTCTATTTAATAAAAACTTAATCTGACCTATGTGCCTAATTACAAATATTTTAACATGCATAATTTTATATTTATAAAACGTGTAAGCTCAAGTGATATTTTTTCAGATATATGAATTAAAACGATGGGTTTAAAATGAGCAGCAGTAAAGCCTCTCCTCTAAAAATTTTTAAAAGGTACAGTTACAATAATATATGGATGTGAAAAAAATTTGTTTTATTTAAAACATTTTGACGTTTGGAAAATAAAATAAAAGTAGCGAATACTCTATCAAGGGTATCGAAAGACGTATACAATTTTAAAATGTACCGTAAGGTATTTTTCATTCTTCAAGCATAACATTTTTCTTAAAATCTATATTTTTGTAGTGCAACAGCTTAGAATTTTTAAAACAAATTTCATATAAAAATCGCTGTTGTTAGTTGTCGAAAAATAACCAAGATGTGATTTTTGCGTAAATGTCACTAAACTATACAAATTGCTATTATCCATCACACTATGAATGTTTCTTTCATGCGAAAGTGTCCCTTTTTCGATTTCTATGGAACTGTCGTGTGTCGAAATACTATCAGAATCTTGTCAAGCGAGCTTCTGATGTAAACAAAGAACACCCCATCTGGTGACCCAAACTTCAAAGCAGTGCTTCACTTTTAGCGCGGGTTGGACCCTCCTCCCTTTCCTACCTCCATGGATTTTCATCATATCACTGTTTTTTTTTTTTTTTTTTTTTTTTTCGGGAGAGAGGGGCGGGCGCCAAAAAGGTATTTTGCCCCGGGCGCCAGTTATGCTCGCTACGCCACTGATTATTTTATGAGTTATTAAACATCAAAATGGGTCCGCGACTTTATAAACACCCTGTATATAGCTCATTGTAAACATTGTTTTGTGTTGTGCGTACTTGTTAAAAGTGGTTTTGTTTGGATCTTGTAAAATTGTTTATTATTTGCAATGAATTTTAAACAAATGTTATAAATAATATCTTTATATACTTTTTAAAACAAGATTTATTACAAATTACTTTTAAAAGAGATTTTGAAACAACCTGTGTTGCAACTGTAAGGATTTCAAACAATATAAGCGTTATATGACCTTTTGTTTCAGAAGTGTATCTTTCAGTGATCATACCAGTCATTAAAGGTATTATTAACTTCTAGATTATTAACTTTAAATATCATACAATTATTTCAATATATGTTTGTTCAGAATTAAGTATATTATTTACTTAAATACAATATGTAATTTCGAGAGGTGTTAATTAAGCTGATCCTGATGTAAAATATTTCGTAGAAAGTGAAGTTCTGCTTGTTAGTAGTGGTTCTGCTTGTTTACATTATACATTTTTTTTGTTGTAAATGTTATTTTTCTTTAGCCTAAAAGAGCCTTTCTCGAAACTCGATATTGCATTGTTTCACTTTAATGCGTTATTTAACTTTTCGTTCGAATCTGTTGCCATTCTAAAAATATAAGATGTTATTTTTTCATGTTTAATATGCCTGTTATTAATTATCAAACTAAACTATTTAAAAGAAATATCTGTACATCCATTTCTTAAGAATCTCTTTTATGTTTGTTTAGTCTGATTGATTTAAATAAAAATGTATTCAATATGATGATATATCTAATTTATAATACTGTGTAATGATATATCTAACTAAAAACTACAAACATTGCGTATCTAACATCTGCATCACATATTTTTTCACTTTCTAAATATACAGAAAGTATGGTAGTCTAAATCAGGGATCCCATGATAGCCTAAATTAGGGATTCTCAGCCAGGAGGAATTCCCCCATGGGGGATTTTATAGTTTCAGGAGGATTATGTGGTCACGCTTTTAGTATTTAGTTATAGTTTATGATTATAAAAATAACTTTTATTCAAATTTGATATTTATGAATATTTTCTATACTTTTTCTTGTTTAATTTATAAAACATATTAAAAATTTTAATAAATATTAAATGCCAAATAAAGTAATGTATATGTATTTTTCGAGTTTTGGAAGGGGGGAGATGATCGTCTAGCAATGAAAGGTATGATTCAATTCAATCATTTTTAAAGCAAAAAATGTACAATTTACAAACATATAAGAGTAAAGAAACTGAGATCACTGAGCCGGGCAACAAAGTGGATATATATATATCAATATATTTATATACGTTTGGTGCGGCCGATTGCAACCAAAATACGAGGTGCACATCTACATGTTATAGTAGTCCAATATACAAAATTTCAACGTTCTGAGGCTACTCGTTTTTGAGTTAAGCGAGATACGTACGTACGTACGCACGTACATACATACGTTCGTACAGACACCACGAAAAATTCTCTTCAGAATTTATTTTAAAGCAGTTTTATAATTTTTTTGGAGGAAACGAGTCTTTTATTCTGTCCTTACGTACAGATATCACGCAAAAACATCGTTAAATTGCATTCGATAGGTGTGAAAATGATATTTTCGTTGAAATATGCTGCCTGAAACTTTTCGCGATTACAATACTTCCTTTTTACTTCGTCGATTACAATACTTCCTTTTTACTTCGTACAAGGAAGTAAAACCAACGATACCTAGAGCCATAAAATTTTGAATAACTACACCGTAACATGTCATACACCGTAGTCCTACACCGTAACGTGAGCCCCTGGAAGCCCGATTTTAATTTGTTTGTCTATTGCATATTTTGTAAAACTTTAACTAATTTTTGATTAAAAACTCAGAAATTTGAAAACGAGCAGTAGCGACAATGTACAGAATAAAATATTTTTATCTCCAGCGTGCGAGACTGTCTATCAGAAATTCTAAAGATATGCTAATTCTAAAGATTTAAACAGTTTTAGCCCAAATGCTCTCGAAACGTGTATGTGTGTGTAAATGAAAAAAATGCCCCTTTGGACGTAATATAAAATTTGGTAGCTTTCACCTTTTTTGTGTGTTTTTCTTTGGAATTTTGAAGTGCTATTAATTAGGACAGCCAGATCTTTCTGTTAAACAATTTGTGGAACCCATTGTTTAACGTTTGTTTTAAATAATAATCCTATATTTAATTATTGTTTATTTACTGACATTAACGAACTAGTGTCCTTAAGAATGCTTGGAGAAATTTCATTTAAATATATTGGCAAAAAAAAAAAGACATAATTTTTCAAATTTCTGAAGCTCATATCATCTGTGCTATTAGATTTTTATTCTGTGCTATTAGATTATTATCTCTTTCATCTGTGCTATTAGATTTTTATTCCCATTATTTACCAAAATTAAATATACTACTAAAAATTATTATTTTAAGATCACTAGGCTATACCAGGTATATAAGAGTCTCTAGCCTAGCATCTGTTTGTAACTGTTTGTCAAACATGTCATTGCTTTTTAGTAAGTTACTACTAAGAACACTTTAGTTGGTTCAAACCAAATAAATATCAATAAACGCCCAAATTGTAAAAATTGCTCACATGCAGCAATCATATTAAACAAAATATTATCTCTGAGTTATGCAAATTAATGAACTGCACCAATAAATGATATATTTCAAGGATAATTGACATATTAATATGTTGATTCAGAAAACATACAGAGTTGATTAAACAAGGTTGTAAGATTTCTTTATGCTAATTAACCAGTTACAGTATGTTTTGGATCTTTACTCTTACTTCTCCATTCCGATGTTCCGTCTGAGTGCAAATTAGTTTGCGTGTATTTAAGGTGAGGTTTAGATTTTCAGATAGAGCGTGTTATGCCTCTCAAGGTCTGTTACTAGGATGTTACAATGTCTGTTACTAGGATGTTACAATGTCTGTTACTAGGATGCTATACCAGATAAGATTTGTAGTCTTCGGCCTCGCATTATACTAATTGCCGATAGCTAAATATTCACGCCACTTAAGCTAACTTCGCGTTAAATGATGTGTGTAGTCTTTGGCTACTAGTTTATTTAATTAAATTTTACATCTGACTTACTGCTACTTTACGTTTTCTCGCCACAAGTGGTTGACTAAGTTGTAAGCACCAAAATGTTCCTTCTGTTCTTATTTAGCTTTAAAGTGGTGAAAATACTACGAGTGGGAAAACTCCAGTTGCATAACTCCCATCAGATGGATTTTCCTTTGCAGCCAAGGTATCGGCTATCAAAGAGCACTTAACAATACATCAGTGATTTGTGATCGTTCAGGTAACATCTGTTTTATCCCTGAAAAATGAATCTGCGTGTTAGGTAAATGGTTTTGTTTCAGCTGGCTGATGTGAATGTAACTTAAATTTTACAGTTTGTTAATGAACAACTTCTACAAATCGAAGTCTGGCAATGGAAAAGACCTTTGTGGCAATGTTTTGCAATAAGTATGGAAAACAACTGAAATTCTGAAGGATAACTATTTGTTTTTAATTTCAGCTAATTTGTCTTCAAAGTAATTTAATTTAAAAATAACCTACTAACACAAATTACAAGACCTCTGAGAGTTTGACACCAGCTGGAATGAAATATCCTGCAACCTTAGTAATCAACAGCTACTTGAACAGATTGTTATTAATAGAAGAGTTAAATTTAAGCTGTATCAATCAGTCCTATTCGCAGTGTATCTAAACTCCCTTTTTTAAAAAAAAATCTTTCACTTTTTATTTTTGGGTTAAACGGATGAAATAAAAAAAAGAGTATAATGGATTAGAAATCATAAAATTACAACCCCAGTTTTATGTAATATCTATATAAAATATGTGATTTTTAGAATTTTCAAGCCGAAATTAATATTATACAAAGAAGAATTCCTTGGAAAAAGAACGAATCAATTAAATATTTGGTGTGGAATTTGCTAATTAATTATACGTAATCTTTAGACTTTCTCTGGAACTTGAAAATCCTGGAGAATTTTTACTTTTTGAATGAAATTCACTGAGTAATAAGAAAAGAATACTTTTTATGGTATCTAGCAAATAAATAAAATAATTCTTTATAGTTCAAGGGCAAGAATTTATTATTTACAGAACTATGAGTTCTTTAGGAAGTTAAATTTTTTTATCACTTTATCCATTTTTATTTAAGTAACACTTCAAACACAAGTTAATGTCAAATATCTGTATTTAAAGTGATTTGACTTTTACGACCGTAAAAGAATAAGGTAACAGTTAACTGACTTGAAGATTCCTTCAGCACTAAAAACGGGGTTGGCTGGCAATCGTTTTCATACGATACTCAGTGAAAGAATAAGGAAAGCGTCGCTGCACTGGACGTTTAAAGAATCGAGTAATATGACAGTTACGGGGGGCTTCTTATAACTAATTAAACTGCTTTTATATCCATTTCTGCAATAACAGTCACAGCGGAAGTCTTCCGACTTGAATTCCTTCTTATACTATGTCAAATTTATACTTCCTAAATTTAATATTATCAGCATTCACTAGAAACATTTTGTTATTTTCAGCCATTACTACCAATTTTTTCGCCTTTTATCCTGACTAAATGATTGTGTGCCCTCAGAGTAAAGCACATCACAGGTTGAGAACTGATGTACTAATTTATCGAATACAGTTAAACCAGATTTATTAATTTTTACTACCAATCCGCAAGGAACATCTTTAGAATTTATTAATTTAAAAGCCTAAGATGAGATTTATGAAGTTGTAGCTGAATTTAGTTCTTCGATGTAATACCTTTGAGAGTGGATAATAAGCGTAGCCAAGAGGGCGTAGTCACTGGCTAGTAAGTAGTTAAAGGAAGAAGCCAAGTCTTATAAATGTACTTTAGAAAATTTTTAACCTAGATAAGGATGCCGCTTCTCAGTTTAGAATATTTGTAAGATACTTTTTTTAATGAAGTAAAAAAACTAGTAAAAAAAATCAAGCGAATTTACATCGAATGAGGATAATATTTTACAGTAAAACTGTGCATTTTTACATCCTTGTGCGAAGTAAAAAGGAATTATTGTAATCGCGAAAAGTTTCAGGCAGCATATTTCAATGAAATTATCCATTTTGACCGCTATCGAATGCAATTTAGCGCTGGTTTTGCGTGACATCTGTGCGTAAAGACAGAATAAAAACGTCATTTCCTTCAAAAAAAAAAAAAAAATTATAAAACTCTTTTAAAAGGAATTCTGAAGAGAATTTTTTCGTGGCGTCTGTACGAACGTATCTACGTACGTATCTCGCATAATTCAAAAACGAGTAGCCTCAGAACAATGAAATTTTGTATATAGGACTGTTATAACATGTAGATGTGAAACTCGTATTTTGTTTGCAATCGGCCGCACCAAACGTATATAAATATATTTATGTATATATATCCACTCTGTTACCCGGCTCAGTGATCTCAGTTTCTTTACTCTTATATGTTTGTAAATTGTGCATTTTTTGCTTTAAAATGATTGAATTATGTTGTTCTTATCTTCCGGTTAAGGTTTTTATGCCTTTAGTAAATCTGCACGTAATATTTGTACGATTAATCAACAATTTAAACGCTGTTTAAGTGCGGTTAAGCCTTAAGTTTTAAATAACATGGCGGACATATTTGTTTACATTTAAAACAGCAGAATAGTAGATTTGTTGCCAATCTAGAGAGACTAAGCTTCGCAACAACAAAGATAACGCCTTCACTTATTATTGCGAATTAAATCATGCATAATCCTTTCTGGAATTTTTTCGAGGAAATAAATGTTTAAGATTTACTTCGTAATTTTTAACACACATATTTTGAATTTTTATGTATTTTTGCCTTGTCGCGAAGCGAGAACTGAATTAATTGAATGAGAAATACTCAATCGTCTGTGAAAAACTGTTTCTTTTGTGTTTTGCTTGCTGAATTTCTTTTATACATCGTTCTAGATATATTAAGAGTATTTGAATAGATCATGTGGCAAAGATTAGATAATTCTTGAAATGATATAAATTTTGTGCATTTTGTTAAAATTAAATTTTGTTATAATATGAACGAAATATAACGCTGTTAAGTGAACCTAGCGCTGGAATGTCGCTATGGTAAACAAGTATAGTGAATTTTAAGGAGTGCATTTATTCTATTGTGGTTTATGCGATATCGTCAAAGTAGATTTAATTCAATCCAATAAGTTTAAATGAAATGCAAGAAAATATGCGTATAATTTAATATTCCGTACAAGAAAGTCATGTGGCGTACACATCAGAATTTTTTTATCCAGTTCTTTAATAGAGTATAACGATATGTAGTCTTTGAGTCTACTTTACGCATTTGGTAAATAAATGGCAGGCATTTAGGTAATATGATGTACGCTCAAACGTATGGCAATTTACCTACAGTTTTAATTAATAATAGAACAAATTGTAATAAATTTCTTATATTTAGGAACTATGACAGCTATATGGTATTACGTACTACCCATGCTTTTGGGTCGTACGTATGATATGAAGACAGACAGTCCGGGTGTAGATATCTTTCCTCAAGCAGAAATAGATAATGCTACGGTAAGTGACAGTAAACTTCATTTAGCAACCGCATATTCTAGTTTGCATACATTTCGTGAGCACTGCTTGTAACTTTATTTATTGGATTATTTAGATCATTAGAAGGCAGTTTACGGATTCAATGTACCGAATGGTTTCGGATAATCAAGAAGCAAGAGATTTCCTCGGAGTTTCGGGAGAATTGTCTCTGAAGATAAAAACTGGGAAGATTCAGATCGAAGGACTAGGGAATTACATGAGAGAAACTTATTCTCGGTCACAATCAGTGGAAATTTTAGTGAAAGTTCATTACGAAACTGTAAGTTCTTAGATTACTAAAACTCTCTAAGGAATTGTTTTTATTATTTTAATACCTCCAGGTTTTTATTTACTGGTAAATATTATTTATATTCAGATACAAATTTATTGACAGAACGCCAGTGAAACTTGTAACACGAAATGTTTACATTAAATGTTATGTTGTAGAGTTCCTCACTTCGGAATTCTAAGTTAATGTTGGAAGTGAAGAATCTAAGAACTGATAAGCGAATGATTGCTTGAGTTCGGTGACAAGAAACAACAAGATAGAAGGGTAACTAACCCTTTATTATTCCAATAAGATTTAACAAAACTCCGCCTGGGAGTGTACAAACAAAGCCCGCACTTGGACTTGAACTTAAAAGACTAAGAATTGAACTAAAACTAAGGTAGGTAGGTAGGTTACGGAGGACTGGAACGCCTGGTGTCTAACAGAGGTAAACAGGCATGTGTTCCAAACCCTCCTCTAACTACGGCAAAAGCTTCCTGGAACCACACGAGGCTGCACCAGGAGATTATTGAGGTTGTCAAAGAGAAGTACATGGCCTTACAAGGGCATTAGTAGGATTGTATTACAGTTTGAAGAGGAAAGCTGTGGTGTTACAGATAGTAGGTAGTTAAACTAAAAATACTTGGATAATAAGACGTACAAAGAAAAAAAAAAACGTAAAAATGCATAGGCAACAATACACAAAGCACAATGCGTAAAATGCATAAACAGAGAGCACAAAAAACAGGTACATACACATAGTCACTTAAGGCATAAAAAGATAAATGGAGTACATGAAGTCACATGAAAGCTGGAGCACAATGTTAGTGTAAGGTAGTTCTGTTGGATATAAATACAAGTACATCTTGAATGATGAATGATGAATGATGAGTTCATGAATACTCATGTGTGCAGAAGAAGAGTGCGGTTAGATTGCTAAGGCGTTGATTATTGTAGCATCGCTAAGAACATAGATAAAAACACTGATAAAAGGCACGAGGATGTTGTAGCACTAATTATTGGGCAGTGCCCCAGCAATGTGTGCACCGTGAGGCACACAAGCGTTCACTAACACTGCGTAAGAAGATGTTGTTCACATGCTGTTGAAGGGATTACACACGTATCATTATGGAGGCATAACACATCTCTCTAAGGAGATGCCACATATTTGCGAATTGAACTAAAACTAAGATTAACTAAAGAAGTATAGCCGAAGTTATCAAAGTTCAAATCGAGTTGGCCCCTTAACTTATTTGACTACGAAGCTTAGCAAGGGCCTGAGTACGGCCGAGCGTAATAACAGCTTTGAGAGAGAGAGTGGCCGAAAAGACAGACGCGCGTAAATCAGAAACACTGATTCTCTCTGACTCTGTAAGTAACTTCGTGGTTTAAATACCGCTCCTACTCATTAAATATTCAGCAAGATTCCAAAAGTACGTTCTGGCCGGAAGTAGTAAGTTGAAGTTAAGAATTTGACAGGAAAGGAACTTTAACTTAAAATTTAACTGTTAATAAAATTAACATAATCCTTACATAGTGTATACAGCTCAGGTGCTAGTACATTGTTGTTGCTAATGCTCATTGGTCTGACTTAAAGTCAGCTCAAGCCCACGAAATATATTGTGGTAAGGAGCTCAAATTTACGCTTGTCGTTGGCAGCAGCCTTGAGCGCCTTACAGGTGGCAGTGCGATTTAGCTCAGTTCCGACTCCAATTTTGATAGAGAGCGGCTCCGGCGGAGAGAGACCGGGTCCGAGGGTCTCCTACCCCTCTTCACCTACCATCAACCTCTCGGGAGGACTTGCCGCATATTTAGAGCTCCTCATGCGGCGCGGACACTATACATATTACAAAGGTCCGTGCCTTCTCCGGGATTCGAACCCGGGCGCTTCGGCACTAAAAATCTATTTAAATTTGCTTCACTGCACCGCGTCAGTAAATGAAGTTAATTTTTAAAATCTATGTCACCTTTACCTTAATGGAGCATTGAAGGGCACTGGTGGCTAACAGCCTTGAAGGACGTCGATGGAATTCGATTTAATTTTAATTTTAAGTATCTAAATTTGTGCATTTTCACACACTGGGGGATTACACTAAGGAATTGATTGCCAGCCTGTAGGTAAACAGTGACAAATGTCCTTGTTGATCGCCTTGATTTAACTTAAAAAAAAATAGTACACAGTCTTTTCTAAAATGCTTTCCTCAAAATTAAGGCTTAAATAATATTTATACACAGAGTAAAATGGTTACAAAATTTGTATTTATTTATCTGTCTTAAAAAACATTGTATAATAAATTACATAAATATTACAAAATACAATTTGAAACAGTAGAGATTTCTTCCTTCTAGTGTTGCTTCTTGAATACGAATTGAGTTCCACCGTTTTGCCTTAGACTAACATCTGACATCCATTTTTTTGGTTACAGCCGAAAACATCGCGGCAAAAACATCGCGGACGAAAACGTCGCGGAGAAAACAACGCAAGGCAAAAACGTCGTGCTACAAAACATCGTGGGAGAAAACATCGCAACGAGAAAACATCGCAGCTCTAAAACATCGTGGTACATAACATCGTCGTCGAAAATAAAGCGGTTCAAAAACTTCGCAGTTTAAAAACATCGTCGTCGAAAATATCGTGGTAAAAAATAAAGTATCTACAAATCATCGCATGACGATAACATCGCAGACATGCTTCTTTCAGGCTTTAATAACTGTAAATGGATATTCCCATATTGATTTGTGATCGCAAGATGGAAAGAAGGATAATTTTTACTTTCATACTTTTTATTAACTAATAAATTTTTGCTGAGAAAATAAGAATGAAACTTAAGCATAGAAAATTAATGCGACTTATAGCACTTAATAGAATTTTAAACCGACATAGTTAACTAACAAAGGCCATTAATAAATCATTTTTATAAAGTTTTTTAATGGTAATTTTTCATGAAAAGTATAATCTATAATTTGCATTTAATTTTTTATGCTTAAGTTTCCTTCTTACTTTTTCAGCAAACATTTATTAGTTAATAAAATATGTGAAAATAAAAATTATCCTTCTTTACATACTGCGCTCACAAATCATTATGGGAATATCCATTTACAATAATTAAAACCTGAAAAAAGCATGTCTGCGAAGTTATCGTCATGCGATGATTTGTAGATACTTTATTTTTTACCACGATATTTTCGACGACGATGTTTTTAAACTGCGAAGTTTTTGAACCGCTTTATTTTCGATGACGATGTTTTGTAGCACGATGTTTTAGAACTGCGATGTTTTCTCTTTGCGATGTTTTCTCCCACGATGTTTTGTAGCACGACGTTTTCGCCTTGCGTTGTTTTCTCCGCGACGTTTTCTTCCGCGATGTTATCGGCGGACACCATTTTTTTATCTGCCCAAGCTAGTGATGTGATTTCTTTCAGTTCCATATCTGCGTTCACTTTTAGGACATAAAAAATGCAAACATGAATAAAAATTTTCGCAGTACCTATTTTATTAAAATTAAAGAAAAATTCAAATACTGTAATACTGGGGTTAAAAAACAGCAAACAATTTGTTTTTTGAAAATAAAATGTTAGAAATCCTTTAATTCATTGAGTTCTAGAAAGATGCATTTAATCATGAAAGAGTTTTTCGCTTAATTTACTCAAACATTTCTTTTTAAGAATATGTGTTTCCTCTCTTGGAAAAAAAAAAAAAAAAAAAAAAATACGAAATTGTAGCTTTCAGAAAGCTTTTTTCAGCTGTGTTGCCACTATTAAAGTTCCAACCCTCGTATATATAAAATAATAAATGTTATACAAGTATATTTAATTTATAATATATTCAGTTGATATATAATTTTCATTAACATCTGAAGCGTTATTTTAGTTAGTAAAAGAAGGTGTTACTAGCGACAAATATTCAGTGCGGCGTGTAAAATCCTTTGAATTTAAATCCCCCTGACTTCCGTGCTGGCTTTTTTATCATTTACTGATCATTTGAATTACATAGTTCTTTGTCTATCAAACAATCAGAAGTTTTGTTCGAACGTTTATATATGTTGCTTTTTTTAGGAGACATTAACTTTGCCTTCAACAGCACAACCAAGAGTCGGTTGGCGAACCTTGGATCGAAGGGATGTTGGAACACATTACGTCAGAAGTATTACTTATGGAGGTGATCTGGTGGCATCTTTGAGATTCACTGCTAAGAATGCAGCGGACAGAGAAAAAATCCGAGCTGCTGTTCAGACTAATCTTCAAGCGGACACTGGATCATTTGGTTTAGGAATAGAAGGTAACTGATCTCATTTCTTTTGCTAACCTAGCAGTTTGGAATGGAATATTTTTGAAGTCAGTGTATTTGATTTGTTAAGATAACAATGCCAAAACTTCCTGCCACTCAGGGAAAGTTCCTTTAATTTCTATTCCGTAAGGGTATGTGATTTTCTCACCTGACTTAGAGCTTCCAGGTAAGCAGAATAATTGGCTCGGCCATTTATCAATGTTAAAATTCTTTCCTGGACTTACTAAAAAAATAAGTTCATATGCAGAGATCAAGTAAAATCATGATCTTTTAGAACTATTCGTTGCAGCTTTGAACTTAACGTCAGATTCACGAGCCGTAGAACAATAAACTACGGTGCTGATACGATACCTTTCTATTGGAAATAACTACACATAAATAACCTGTACTACCTGTTATTATCAAATTTCATAACATCTTCTAATGGTATCATTAGCTGATGACTACCCAATATTTTTGCATCAGGCTACCATAGTACCCAAATCCAATGCACGCACCGGATGAAGATGGGTTTAACAAGAAGACAGGCCATGTAAAAGCCCAAAACTGGGCAACAACTGTAGATCCTGGAGAATTTCGGTATTATATAGCTTGAAATTAAAGATATGACATTTAAAATCCCAGAATTAGGCAAAAACTGTAGATCTTGGAGAATATAGAAATATTCTTGAAGTTGAAGACATGACATCTACAAGAGCAAAATTCGGCAACAGCGGTAGATCTTGGAGAATTTCGGTATTATATAGCTTGAAGCTGAAGCATGACATTTAAAAGCCCAAAATTGGGCAACAGCCGTAGATCTTAGAGATTTTCGGTATTATATAGCTTGAAGTGTTCTATTTTTCCCTCGAAAATAATTTGACGAAGTGGAAAAACAAAGGTCTAGACGATTTGATGATGAAAAAAGAACAGCAGACCTTAACTGTGTTTAAAACGCGTGGCACTAAAAACATGTAGGGACATGAGGTACTTTTCTGGAAGCAGGCAAGATGAAAAATTAGCAACGCCTCCGCCAGGAATCGAACCGCGGACCTCTCAATCACGCCGAGCGTGCAGACCACTACACCACGAAGGCTCGCTAAGAAGGCGAGAGAAATACCTTATAAACATATCAACTCTTAAGCAATCAACTCAGCTCTGGACTTACTTATCGTAGTTTAAAAAAACTACATCCCTAGCAAGGAAAGAAAAAGCACTCCGGCCATTTGTTGCATTCTGCCAAACAGCTGACTAAAATTGTGGTTAATTGGCTAGCTGTATACCAGACGTTTAGTGCTTCTTTTCTTCTAGATTAGCTACTATGATGCATAATTGGAATATCTAAATAAGGGAATGTAATATGGAATATGTGACTATCGAATAATTACATATTTGAGTAAGCTTTAGCAGCTAGTATAGAAGAAAGATGGTATTGTACTTGAAAATAAGATCCGACAGAATAGGCTCCACATGCAGAAAAAATGTTAACAACTTTATAAGCAGTTCAATATTTTCCATATTTGAAGAAGCTTGCTACTGGTATTGCGGGACTTTCATTTAATTAGTAAGTTTTGCTTAATTCTATTCTTTCCATGTTCTTGATTCATGATCCTTCCATAAAGTGCAAATTGGTATAGTATTTAAAGGAAAATGAACAAGTTTGATACTTAGCAATTACGTGTACTTCAAGATTGGAGTTAATTTGCTTATCAGGCCGTTGCTGGAAAGATAAGATTTAAAGGATCCTTAAGCAAGGAAGTGATTCCGCTTGCTCTTTCCCGTGTAACAGCTTTAAATAATATTAAAATCTTGTAGTTTAAATAATTTAAATAGATGACATTAAGGTATTTGTGAATGGCAATATTTGAAACCAGACTTGAGTGCCTCGTGCGACGAAGAATGTAATTTATTTTTAAATGATAGAATATGTTTTCTCTTCTTGTTTGCATGTCGCCATTTTTTTGAGTGTTAAATAAAAGTTATTGCTGTATTCCATCATTGGAGGTGCTTCATATCACCAAAGAAGCATCACACCTGCTAGACAGAAACGCTTCCTAATTTTGTTTTTAGTTTGGTCAGCAATTTGTTAAAACTAATTATGATAGTTAATCGGGAAATTTATCGCTGTTGATTTGCGGATACCATTTTATGTGTTTCGCAATCAGGAAAAATGAGAAATCAGTAGCATTATCGACGGGTCTTGGACTATGAATTGTCCATCTAGTAGCTGGACATGCTAGTCACTTGCAAAACAAGTGTATGCACAGAGAAATGCAATAATTCCTTACATAGTTAGCCCCTCATTACTGCTTATACAACAAATCTATTCCTAAACTATTTGAATTGCCCCTCTGCATTTTAGGCTATTGGCTTTCGGAAAACAGAAATTTCATTTAGTCAGGTTCTAGCTTAGAAGCAGTAGGGCTGTAGAAGAAATGCTGGCCTTGATTTATTTCAAGTTAAAAAAAAAAAGCTAAATGTTTCATGTTAATATTTGTTGTTACAAATGGCGGAACACTTTCAACTTAATGCATTCGTCAAGAACTACATCGGTCATTTAGTCGCATCACCATCCAGAATGTTACAAATTACAAGGATGCATCAAAGGGGGCGACAAAATTACGCTGGGAAAAAGCAGAAATGTTTTCATAATTCTGATGAAAAACATTCAGAGGATGAATCAGGATATTTTAAGCTACCAAACCCCTCTAAAGAAGAGCTTTCACTGGCTCCCATACCGCACAGACACTATACACTTATAAACAACCAAACCCTTTCGTAGATTCGAATAAGGGCCAGCGATAGGATGGGTACCAACCAGGGCGACTATTAACGACAGCATCAATTACGTCGACTATGTTAATATTTCAAATTAATTTAATTTGCATTTGCAAGTTGCAGAGGGTTTTTAATTGTATTTTTTGTGTATTTTGTAACATATAGCTCGTAACTCAATCTTTATTTACTATCATTAAATTGCATTTTACATGTGAGGGTTTGTTATTGCCAGTAATGATAATCACAAAGTAAGGGCAAAAATTTGCCAGGATCTCACAGTTTCTAGACTTTAGAGAAAAAATCAGAGAGATGAGATCAAATTTTAGTAGAACTTACCTATTGTATAATTTGAAGTAAAATGTTTCAGATTTCTTTATAATTTGTAAAATATAAATAGCTACCTGTTTAAACTTACAAGTATTTTATGTTACGTTATTGGCCGATAAAAACAGTGCACGATGCGAATATTATAGTGTGTTTGTGAGAAATATATAAATAATATAACCTTTTAAAGTGCCCAATAGTCCGTTCAAACTTAAAAAAAAAGGGTTAAGGTTATAGGTGTTTTGCATTAGGTTATATTTTTTGTGTGAAATTTTATTAATATTATTTATATTTTTAAGGCCTTCCATAAACTTCGCAATTAAAATTTATTATGATTTAGATTATAATAATGGATTCTGTTATTTTCGAAATGTAAAAATATCCCTGAACAATTGTTGTTGCGTTCGAAAATTTGTTAACTTTCATACTAATGTGTAGTTAATACTCCCAGTGCAACATTACTTAACATAGTTTTAAGTAGTTAACGTAGATTTGAATTAGATAATTAAAAATAAGTTATTAAAGTTTAACCACAAATTTGTTCTTTTAAGTTTTAAGTTATTTCCTTTCCAAACTCGCAAGCATAGGATCTGACATTTTAGAATGAAGATAAGAGGAAAACATCTGTCATTTCATTTGTCTTATCAGTTAGTGTTGTTGTGCCAGTAAACTACAAGCTGAAATTTAAACTCAACCTTTTATTTGCTGCTTAAATATAAGAAATTACAATACCAAACTGCAACTAACTTTAATTATTCGAACAAAGATAGACACCTTGCCACAAAGAAGACGGTTTGCTGGAAAGCAATAACTTCTTTTTTAAAATAATTTTTAAGTATTTAATTTTTACTTTGAATTAACACAATTATTCATGAGAAATATTTAATAAATTTCAACTAAACTTAAATATAAAACAACGGTCAATACTGTGGTGCTTCCTGTAATGAACGTCTGGTCCAACAAACATGCGTTGTGACCGAAAAATATCCGCGTAACAAACTTATCTTGTATTATGTACGAACCACTTAAATTTTGTCATTTGTGCAAAAGGTAGATAAATTTGTTTTACCTTACGTTTTAAGACGTATAACTATATAAAAAACAATATCCTCTCAAAACAAATCTGATGCGCACGCCACATGACTTCCTTGTACGACCTATTATGCACACTTTTTGCTACTTTCGCTTAAACTTATTTCCTCGAATTTCATTAGAGATACATTTCTCTTTCAATCAATCCAGTTATCGCTTTACGGCAAGGCAAAAATACATAAAAATTCAAAACATCTTCATTAAAAATTGTCGAACAGAGAAAAAAAACAAAACACTAAAAACAGTTAAAAACAGTAAAATGTTTTTTACAATTAAAATTAGAGTTCCTAGTCAAAAACAAGCAATTCAGCCAGCCGGCAGGAAGACATATTTTTCGGTGCACAAAACTGAAAGCTTACTTTTGGTACTCGGCAAAAAGACACTTAAGTTAGTCCAAAAACTGACTTAATTCACTATTCTACTAGGATTTTTAAATGCAAACAAATGGCGCCTTCGTTAGTCTTAGTAGCATTTAAACAACTTTTAGATTGTTAATAATTCTACGTAGATCAACTAAAGGCATAAAAACCTTAACCGGTACATAAGAACAATATAATTAAACCCCTTTTAAAACAAACAATGCACATTTTACCAGCATATAAGAATAAAAATGCTGAGTTTACCGAGCCTCAGCTGAGTTACGAGAGTGGGTATATATATGTTTGGTGCGGCCGATTGCAACCAAACCAAAAAAGGAGATGCGCAACTAAGTACATATTACAGAAGTCCGATGTACAAAATTTGAATGTGCTGAATGTACAAAATTTGAATCACTTTAAGTTATGCGATATATATGTATATATATAGATTATATAAAA